CCGAAGCTCAGTTAGGAAGAGCGATGGCTCCGGTGTGGCTATGGATTCTGGTTCGACCCCAGTCATTCGATTTTCGTACCAACAATAAATTCTCATCAGTAAGAAGATATTAGCAAATGCTTTGTAAATTGTAAACAAATTCAAATATCTCGGTATATGTATTTAATGGTGATCTATATGATGACCTATCTATATCTACGGAAAGAGATCGCAGGGCGTTATCAGTGCGATGTAATACGCTGGCACACAGGTTCGCGAAATGCTTCACCAAAGCAAAAAATTACTCTATTTAAAGCTTGCAGCCAAGCTAACGTTTTGAAGCGAATATTTTTTCTCGTGGAATTGCTCGCGTTCGTTTTTGTTACAACGGAAAGAGCGTGTGTGTTAAGTCTAATTGCGCAGAATAGACCGCGTGAAACGTCAATCTCGCAGATTGCTGTATCACGCACAATAGCGTGTCTGAGCAAGCCCGCTATTCGCGCACGATTGCACGTGCAGGCTTTCCCGTGCGCAATCCTGGGGCCAACCACAACCTCTTAAAACAATATTACTTTAACCTTACATTGACTTTTCGTACCTAACGCCCTTAAAGTAAGCAATAATACATTACTTGGTCGACAGGTTTGTCATGGTACGAATATGAGTAATATTATAATAAGCTTACATTGAAATAAGGTTGTTTTTGGAAAGGTTATGATAGGCCCCCTGTGCACTTCTGATCACGTGCAATAGAGTGACTTAATTACATTAGCTAGCATCTTAACAATATTTTTATTTTATATTACGTAAGAACATATATTAAATGCTCAGTGTCATGGTAGTTTTTTTTTCCTTTTAAGCATTCCTTACATTGAAACTTATTATTCTAAGCAAGAATCTTTGTCGTTTACAAAATCGCTTGTTACATTACCGATTTCTGTGCCATATTACGTCTTGCTATTCTGCGCTCTAGGCTTCATAGTCAATGGAATAAAATATTATTACTAATATACATGAAAACAACAACGCACGATATTAAGCCTCTATCTTTACAACACAAGAACATACCGAGCAAATGTAGGCAGTCAATCTCGGCCATGTTTCACATCTTAGCGGCTACTCGTTAATCTATCAGTGGAAGTTCGATCTCGTCACGCGGAATAACATCTTTGATCTCGGCCTAATCAATTGGTATCGATGCTTTCATATCGATTAGATTAGATTAGATTAGATTTATTTATTGTCTTGTCTAAACTTTACATTTTTATATACAACATTTTGTATTACAAGAATCGTTACAAATAATAATAAATGCTACATTTCAAAAAATTACAAATATCCAGTAGGTACAAGTTTTGTAGGGAAGAACGGGGCTGAACGTTCCGATTTTTAAATAACTTGCAGTTTTATACAGAAAATGAAGGATTTGATTTTCAACATGTGGAAATATTGAACAAATGTTTATAGCTTCTTGTAATAGTATAGTCACTTCTACTAATATCTCAATAGACTTTTTCATAGGGTCAAATTTTCGACAAATTTCGGAGCGGAATATTCAGCCGGATATGACAGGAAAACAAGGATTGTCTTAAATAAAACCACCTTATTTATAATTGTATTTATGTAATGTTTATATCATGCACAACTTAAAAAAAACAACTACATTCTTATTCATAAGTAATATTATTCATCGCTTATTCCTGCATCTAAATCGCAGTTGAGACTCACATAAGTGACTCTATCATCTTGTTTATATATTTGACATAAGCTCGTTTGCAGTTTCGCATCACTAAAATAAAGAAAAATGGTCATAAACATTTTAAGTATGGTTGCAGGTCAATTGGGGAAGCTGTTCCTAGGAACAACCAGCCATCAATCAAAAATATACTGAAACAATAAGATTCCCTACTAATATCACTACAATTAAGAAAAGTTACGTATGAAGCGGCCCATAATAAACAAAGACAGACCAAAAAATTTAAACAAGAAAAAATGTACTTACGTGATGTTTTGACAGCGCCACATAGCCACACTTCCGTCGTCGTCGCTAGAGCAACTGAAGTGGCTCCCAGTAAGATGCATCACCTGACGCTTTAACGACGCGCGTCACATGTATTGTTACACATTTTCTTTGCAAAGTTATTGCTGTGAGACTTACAACTTACCCCGGGAACTACCAGCCCATGTCTCCCTTACTATGTAATTTTAACATGGTTAATGTGTTAAGTGAAATAATGTATGAACATATTAAATAATATAGCAATAATAATGTCAAAATAATGATTGTATACGTTAAGTTTGAATTGTTGTGTTGAACCGGGTTGAACTTAAAGGTTCAATAAATTAAGAAATAATCGTAATTATAACCAAAATGCATGTTTTGATAAAGCTGAAAAAAATTTAAAAATTATATCAGTTAATCATTAATTAAATGAAGTTTAACAAATGAAATAGTTTTTCAAATAATGTCTTCGACATTTACAAGACCAAAAAGCCTCCAGCTCCGTGACAAGCCAGTATTATTAAGAAAACTTTTAATAAACAAACGAATCGAAAAATTACCGTCTGGCGGCAACTTTTTTGTTTTCAATTACACCTAAAACAAAAATGTAAAAACGGTCTTATTAAAAAAGACTGGTTTACTTTGGGGTTTTTCTAGTGTTCCTTTAAATGTGCTGGTGTGTGTATATCGAAACGGTAAAGAGTAAAAAAACATGTTTACTTTATATCCAATTTGATATTGTTTTTTTCTGCGTACGTAACTTTATTAGCATTGTTCGTAACATATACCTACTCGTAAAAGTTGGTTTTGTGAGAACAAATGTAACGCAAAAATAACCGAATCGTGCCCTTACCTGCAGAGTCAACAAAAGTAGATCTCAAATAAGTACACTTAATTCGCCAGGAAGATGAACCAAGAAATCTGAGGCTTGTCTGGAGCGAAAAGCTGACGAATAATACCTATACCGTACGCGCCCCGTACCCAATATCGTCATTATGATTATTTTAATCAATGGCAGGCTAGGTGTCTTATTCAAAATAAATTTAGCAAATCCTGAGTATTGCTATGCAAATAAATAAGTTACGCTCTAAGAACCTTTTTAACCGACTTCAAGAAGTAGGAGGTTCTCAATTCGACTGTATTTTTTTATTTATTTATTTATTTAAACACTTTATTGTACCACAAAGTAACTTACAAATTTTCAGAAACAATTTAAATATTTGTGTACAAAGGCGAGCTTATCCCATAAAGAGATTTCTTCCAACTAACCTTTGAAAATCTGAGAGGAAAGTTGGTTTTTGGGGTGGCACTAAAAATAGATAAGTAAAGAAATGAAATATACTATACTCAATAAATACACAGATAAGTTTAATAAATCAAATGTACATACGAATATATATATATTAAGTAATGTTGATACATATTGATACATACAAAGTCTATAATAAATTGAATGTACAAAATAAAACTATAAATAAATATATCAAATGTAAATAAATATTTCAAAAGCTCTAACATGTGGAGTCTGAACAATCCCAAAACTTCAAAAGAGCACCCTTGAAAACCCGAACCGAAGGCGACTGTCTGACCTCGACCGGGAGAAGGTTCCACATACGGGCAGCATTTACTGTGAACGAGTTCGAATATTTTTGGGAACTGTGTTGTGGAAGGACGAGGGACAAATTGGTGCCAGAACGCAGGCGGTCACCCATAGCCTGACGGTATTGAAAACGCTCACGTAGATAGCTAGGTGAAGTGGGATGGAACAGGATTTTATAGAGGAAGCATAAAATGTGAACATTTCTACGTAAACGAATAGGCAACAACTTCAACTCATCTCTAAACTTGGAAATGTGGTCGTACTTTTTCAATCCAAACACAAATCTGATACATTGATTTTGCAGCCGCTCCAATTTATTAAGAAGGTCCTCCGAAAGATCAAGATAGGAGACGTCACCATAGTCCAGAATAGGAAAAAGAAGAGTGCGTATTAGCATAAATTTGGTAGACAGAGGAAGAAAGTACTGCATCCGCTTGAGGGAATGAAGTGATGCAAAGATTTTACGACTTACATCGGCGACATGCTCCGACCAAGAAAGTGTCTGATCCATTATGATGCCCAAATTTTTAACTGAAGTGGAAAAAGGAATAATGGTGTCATTCAAAACTAAATTGGGCATCACTATAGACTCAAACTTGGAGATGGAATGGCGACTACCAATAATTATGGCTTGGGACTTTTGTGCATTTAAAAGAAGTCCGTAGTTCTTAGCCCATACCGAAACCTTTTGTAGGTCGGAATTCAATGTGCCGATAGCAGTAACTACTTCTTCAAGACGGGCTGCAGTATAGATTTGAAGGTCATCGGCATAGAGATGGAAAGAAGACGTGAGTGATGATGTAATTCCACCGATAAAGACCGAAAAAAGTATAGGTGATAAAACCCCACCCTGCGGAACGCCAGCCGTAAGGCTACACCAGTCCGAGTGCATGTCACCGGTCTTTACGAGCTGGGAACGATCAAATAAATACGAACGAAACCAGGATTCGGCTAAGGGAGGTAGATTTAAAGTTCTAAGCACAGCAAGAAGCAAATTAAAATCAACAGTACTGAAAGCACTGCTGAAATCCAATAAAGTGAAGACAGTAACTTTTTTATTTTCTATATTAAGACGAATGTCGTCAGTGATTTTCACCAGAGCAGAAACTGTGCTATGGCCTGCTCGAAAACCAGACTGCAGATGGTTGAAAATATCGTAACGTAGGAGGTGGTTAGTGAGTCGATTATGGACATAGTGCTCAAGGATTTTGGACAATACAGGAAGTATGGAGATAGGGCGGTAATGGGAGAAAGAAGAAGGATTTGATTTTTTAGGGAGAGGAATTACATGGGCTTGTTTCCATACAGTGGGAAACACACCACTGGAAAGGGAAAAATTAAGGATATGAGCTAGGATAGGAGCTACTAGGTCCTGTATTGAAGTGATCATATCAAGACTCAAACCGTCATTACCAACAGCCTTCGTGGTGACAGACTTAAGTATTTTCAACACATCTGCTGTCGTAACCTTTCCAAAATCAAAAGAGGCTGAAGCAAGACATGGTGCATTGGCCAGGACAGATAAAGTTCGCGATTTTATGACAGAATCTAAACATACTGGGGAAGATGCAAATTAGTCGTTCAGCGCGTTAAGATCAACATTGAAGGGAAAGACATGATCAGCTTTACCGATACCCAGTGACTTCAAATATTTCCACATCTTAGTATGCGGACAACCTTCGATAGTGGAGTGAATATGTTTACGCCTGGCGTTCCTACAGAGCTTGTTGCAGCGGTTACGTAACTCGATGTAGGACTCACTATTGATTTTGGTTGGATTCTTCCGCAATCTGATACGTGCTCTGTTGCGCCTCTCCATAACCTCCTTGATATCTGGCGTGAGCCAAGGGGCGGGGAAATGTTTGACTCGGACAACTTGAAAAGGAGCATGCTTGTCAAAGATGGTCAAAATAATGGAGTTAAAAGCTTGAACCATTTCATTCACGTCCTCCGCTCCAAACACCAGCTCCCAATCAGAATTCAGCACATCATCAAAAAGGGCATTTTTGTCTATTTTACCATAATTGCGGAGCATTAAGGTTTTATGTCTGCGCTTAGGTGGACGAATTTTGAACGAAGCATAAATTAAATCGTGTGAAGAAAAAGCAGCAGCATTAAACTGTCCATGAGTATCAACCAGCTCAGGAGAAGAAGTGATGATCAGATCAAGAAGGGAAGGTTGACCATTATGCGGAAAGTGAGTGGGATACATCTCGAGGCAATTCAAAAAAAGTGAGTGGAAGAGTGAAAGCAACTTCCTCGATCGGCAATCACTCTTAACAAGGCAGGTATTGAAGTCACCCATGAGTATAATATGTTCGTAGCGGGTACGTAGATCAGCCAGAACCGACTCTAGTTGCTCAAAATAGTCAACTCTTAGGTGAGGACTGTAAAAAACTCCCAGTAGGGCCCTAGTGTGGTGAAGAGTGACTTCCAAAAAAAGATATTCAGGAGAGTCCGCGCTAGTCACCGACTGTGCTACGATCTCGCAGTCAATGTCACATCGTAGATAAATCGCTACGCCACCTCCACCAACCATCCTCATACGACCGCCCTGGGATCCAATGGTGTAGGCTCGATCGTTACGAATGAGTCTAAAACCTGGTAAAGGGTACTGAGTAGATGGTAGTGAAGGTTTAAGCCATGTCTCCGAAATAAGGACTGCATGAATATTTTTGCTAGTGAAAGATGTCACGAGATCGTTATAATGACTAGCAAGGCTTTGCGCATTAATATGCACAACGTTAAAGTTTTTCGATAGAGATGAGAAAGCAACCTTCAGTCTTTCCTCAAGCGAGGGCATGTCATCCTCTGCATCCGAAAAAGCAGTTGCAGAGGACGACAAAGAGAAATATTCAGAATCCGAATCAGTGTTCAAAACATCCGACATTGAGCTGATATAATTATAGTTTATGTATAAATAATAGTGTTTATAAATATAATATAAATATAATATTATATAGTATAATGTAATATAGTATAATATAATATAATATAATGTAATATAATATAATATAATATAATAGTATATGAAGACAAATTAACCTTTCCTTTTCAATCAGCTTTCGCCAGCAGCTATTACAGTAAAAGAAAAACAAATTTAAAACCACTAAACTTAATTATAAGAAAGACAATAAGTACCTAATTAAACCCGACAATAAAATAACGGCATTTACTGTGAGAAAAAAAAGAAATAATTAAAAATAAAGAGATTTAAAGTAATTTGCAATAAATTAAAGAATTTTATAACTACACGCATTATCAATTCAAAAAAGTTTAACACAATGATCTTATAAAATGTTCAACAATAACAGTTTCTTCCGTAAGGTACTTGCGTGAAACAGAACGTAACTAGTATAAAAAAAATAAAATAAATGACATTAACTGTCAACAAGCAGAATTTTGAACTTTTAGAAGTTACGCATAAAAATAATAAAAGTAAAAGTGGGGTGAAATGAGAAAGTAATTTTGCTGGAAATTATTGAACCAAAAGAAATGCTAACAAGAAAACGAAGTACATTGCTTGCTACGCACTGGAGTCGACAATTCGGCATATTATTTGGATTTCGCAGCTGCAGATCTTGTGGGGCGAGTTTTACTTGGAGGCCGGTTGGAAACATCATGTGCTCTCGATAGCGGAGGATTAATTGCGTCACCAACAGCAGACCTTGAGGAGCTACAACCTGTGGCTGAGTTGGATGGATTTGACGGCGGCGTCGGTTTGCAGGTCGTGAAATCCGATAACTCTGTCATATTTGTGACCTTCTTTTTTTATGTGTTTATTACGCGATTTGTTAGGCATTTATGAACAGATTTTGATGATTCTTTTTTTGTTGAAAAGAGGGCTTACTTTAGTATTGGTCCCATTTAAATTTGAAGAAAATACTCCACCTCTAAAGGTGGCAAACTAGGGAATGAATGCGGTTTCTCGTACTTTCCAGTAACACATTAAAACTTGGCAAATAGATGTAGTTCCACGAATTTTTGAGGTCAGTTTTTTTACGAAAATGTTGTTTTGGAACATACAGTAGCAGCCTGCTCTTTGATCGGCTGTTTAAAAAAATAACCATCTTCTGGTCAATATATAAAATATGAAAAACATAATTGGATAAAGGTCTTTTTTTGTGTTACTTATAAATAGCTTATAATATTGATCGCTATGACTACTGCGTAAAGAATATATTCATTTGAGTGGGAATCTTATCTTGTCGTAATACAGTCTCGGCTAGCACGGAAGGTAAAGAACACTTTTCTTGCTATACCGTAGGGATGTCGAAGGATCCCCTACCGAGCCATCCCGTCTGTGGGCGCCGGGTCTAACATACACCAATAAAAAAAACAGAGGAATTAAGAGTAGGTTCTTTTTTAAAATTAGTTAAAAACTGACAATCATTAATGTGAAGTTCTCCATTGGTCGATTTATCGATGTTTAATCATGTATTTGAAAGCAATTCTGCCTACGCGGTTTCTCTAATTCTATTTACGAGGGCTTATGATTAAACCTTGTTTAAATTCGCCCACGCTTTTTTGTATGTCTGTTCGAAGTAACTTTTAATGAACGCCTTTTAAAATATGACTGTAGCGTTGTTGAGGAAACATTTTAAGTCTCTATTTCAAATTCAAATATGTCTTTGTTTCATAGGTAAGCAAATTACACTTGAATTCATCACATTCATTACACTCTAGTACCCATTAGTAAGACAGATCCCCTTAGAATGACTAAGAAACTCTAGGGATTGTCTTTATAAATAACCGCCTGTACACATTTATCATTTACGGCATTTATACTTAATTATTTGTGAACGAACGACCTTTTTCAGTAGTATCAACTAAAAAAACTGTTTTTTGTTTACTACAAAAAAAAACTACACAAGTATAAAAGTACTTGTTGAGTAAATGAACCAACTATAAAAAATATGGGAAACCAAAAAAATACATGTTTCATTAATTGGGAGTACAATGGAACGTATCGTGTTAGGTGAGTCGCTGCGAATATCAAATCGGTCAGTATGTTCATTTACCAATTTGCAAAGTCTTGAGATGGGAAGGAATTCGATCGAAGAACTGTTTTTCTTATATTATATTTACTTTTCTTCTAATATTACATTTACCATTTTTGTTATTGAAATACGCAGTAACTGTATCATAACGTCTAGTATAAAGTTTTTGTTTCACTCTAGTTTTGAATTATCAACCGGAATCTTAATACAGAAGCATTATATATTGCCCCTTAAATATATTCCTGACTTTGTAATTTGATTCCATTCTTTTATTATTATAATTTTAAACTCTCATCTCTATCGCGGCCTAAACGATAAACATTGATTTTTTAATTAACTAGGAGAGGCGGTATTCCCCGGCATTGACATAGTCGGTCAGGGTCAAGGACTTAGGTTCAAGAACCGGTGTACAAGCTATATCGAGCCGCACCGCTTTCTGCATCAATGCCTGAAGCGACTTTCCACAGCAGGAAACAATGAGGATTTTGCGGTACGTAGCAGTAGTGGAGCTCTTTGTGAAAAAGTTCATGAAAAGAGAAGTGTGCCACCTAACCTATTTCTGCCGCCAAGCAGTAATCTGAGCATTATTGCGCTCCGGTTTGGAAGGGTAAGGGTGCTGGTGAAATTACCAGCACATGGGACTTGTTGTAAGTCTCAATGTGACGGGCGCAGTGGCAAAGCCCCTCAAATTTTTGTGATTTAAATCACCGAGTGGTACTGCAACAGTCATGAACAGACGTGTCGCTTACCAACAGGCGCACGACTTCTTCGTCCCGTCATTTTGTATCATAAAAATATAAAATCACGTTACTCTTAAGTAGATAATCTTAATTCTCTATCATCTCTCAATCTCTGTACTCCTCTTTTTTTCGAGGGATGCAAGATGTATGGTTTATTTAATTACATTATGTATAATGATGTGTACACAGCAATATTGGCAACGAATTGAGAGTGCACTACCCTATGCTAGCCGATCATTGTGTATCGGCGAGCCGTGCCCGTTATCTATGATTTTATCATTTATCAATTATCATTAAATGTGGATACACCTTACAAACGTATTGCATAAATATGGATGAGGCGATACAGATGAGCCTGGTAAAATAAGAGGAAGCACTAACAGTGTATTAAAACTCACAAGAAATACGCTGGACAACACACAGTAGTACTTAGAATCCGTTTTATACCTTTTTTTAAACAAAACTGTTCGCCAAGACACCTTTTACCACCACAGTATTTATATAATCATTCCATAATATTAATAAATATTATTTAAATAGTCGGATAATGTATAAAGTGTAATTGAATATTATAGCTATTATTTATAATTAATAGAACGTGAATAAAGTTCCGGAAGAAATTACTCGCGGCCTCTAGTGGCATGCTTCAATCATGAAGTGAAAATCAGTAAGTACGAGCAAAAAAATTAAGGGAAAGGAGCAGACAAGCCACTTGATGAGAGGTGATCATTGTCGCCCATGGACGAGCTGTATGAGCTGCCAATGCGCTGTCAGCCTTTGAGAGCCCTGCAAACACGCTTTTTGAAGAACCCCATGTCGTAGGGCAAAGGAAGTATT